CTGGGAATTGTCACTGGGAATTGTCACCTGGGAATCGTCAGTGGGAATTGTCACCGGGAATTGTCAGTGGGAATCGTCAGTGGGAATTGTCACCGGGGAATTGTCACTGGGAATTGTCACCGGGAATTGTCACCGGGAATTGTCACTGGGGAATTGTCCCCGATTTGGGGACAGGAGGATTTGGGGACAGACCCAGGGACAGGATGGGATCGGGGCCAGGGATTTGGGAATGGGATTTGGAGAACGGAACATTTGGGGACAAGGATTTGGGAACAGGGATTTGGAATTTGGGGCCAGGATGGGATTTGGGAGCGGGGATCTGGGGACTGGGATTTGGAATTTGGGGTGGGATAAAATTTGGGGAACGGGAGATTTGGGGCCAGGAAGGGATTTGGGAACAGGAAGGGATTTGGGGCCAAGGATTTGGGGGACGGAACATTTGGGGACAGGATCGGATTTGGGAGCAGGGATTTGGGGCTGGGAGCAGGGATTTGGGGCTGGGAGCAGGGATTTGGGGCTAGGATTTGGGGCTGGGATTTGGGATTTGGGGCCAGGGATTTGGGATTTGGGGCTGGGATGGGGTTTGGGGATGGGATTTGGGATTTAGAGTCAGGATTTGGGATTTGAGGATGGGATTTGGGATTTGGGGCTGGGATTTGGGGCTGGGATTTGGGATTTGAGGCTGGGATGGGGTTTGGGGATGGGATTTGGGATTTAGAGTCAGGATTTGGGATTTGAGGATGGGATTTGGGATTTGGGGATGGGATTCGGGGCCAGGGATTTGGGATTTGGGATTTGGGATTTGGGGATGGGATTCGGGGCCAGGGATTTGGGATTTGGGATTTGGGATTTGGGGATGGGATTTGGGATTTAGGGTCAGGATTTGGGATTTGAGGATGGGATTTGGGATCACCCCGCTGCTGCCCCTCCTGGCTGGATTTCCCAGGAATTGCCGCTCCCACCTCCCCAGGAAAAGTGGGAAAAGTGGGATTTTCTCTGTAAAAATTCCAGGATTTTTCCTCTTTGATTCTGCCACCTCCAGGGTGGAAAATTGGGATTTGGGGCTGTAACCGCTCCCGGAGGGAATGATCCCCATCCCTGAGATCCCAAAATTTTCCACGGACACGTTGAAATTCCCAGGAAATCCCGGGATTGGGAAAACCGGGAATGCCAGGACAGCCAAATCCCAGCGTTTTTCCTGGATTTTTGGCACTTGGAAAGGGGGAAAGATCTGGGAATTCCCAGTGGGAATGGGGGGTTGGGATCAGCCTTTTCCCAGCCGGATTCCCATGGGAATCTCCTGGGGAAAAATCCCGAGAAAAGGAAGGAATTTGGGATCCTGGATCAGGCTGGAAGCACTTCCCGATTTTCCTTCGGAGCTCCCGGGAATTCCTCATCCGTGGGAATCCCAGGAAACCCTCGGGAATCTGATTCCCCGCTCTCCAGCTGGAATTTTTCCCTGGAAAACCTGAGGGAAGAGGGAAAAGCTCTTCCCACGCTCCCGTTTTTCCACGGATTTTGCTCCGTGCTGGAAAATCTGGGAATGGGATCGAGCCCTGGGCCGTTTTTTTGGGAAAATTCCAACCCCCTCCTCCCCCCTCCCAGGAATTCCAAGCTGGGGAATTCTGTTCCTCGCTCCAAGGACTGTTTGGAATTGTTGGATCCCACCAGGGTAAACAATCCTTGGAATTCCTGCGCTTGGAATTCCTTCCCCTGCTCCCAAAAGCTCCTCTGAAATTCCCTTTTCCTGCTTTTTTTCTTCTGGTTTTCCTCGGGTTTTTAATGGAATTCCGGCTTTTCCCGCTGCCATCCCCAAATCCCGGGATTCTGGGGGAGTTGAAAAAGGTTTTTGGGAATTGTGGGGTGAATTCCAGGCTTTTTTGGGGGGATTCAGGGATTCGTGGGAATCCGAGCTGGGATTTGCTCCCCTTTGGATTTGGAATTCCATGGAAAACTGGGAATTCCAGAGGCCAGGCCAGAAATCCCGGGATAAGCTTGCCTGGAATTCCTTGGGATGAGATTCCAAGGGGGGATTTGGGGTGATTTGGATCCTTGGATTGGGGAAAGAATTCCCGAGTCCCTTCCCAGGCCCAAATCCTCCTGGATTCCTTCCCGATCCTGGGGGGTTTTTTGGGATCATCCCTGGGTTTTATCCAGAGGGATTTGAAAAACTTGGGAAGAGCCCAAATCCCAAGGCCGGAGCTGGGAATGAGGGAAAACCTCAGGAAAATCCATTCCCTAAAGAAATCCGGGATGAGGGAAACCCTTCGGAATTCCCGGAGCTCCCTTCCCATTCCACTGGCTCCTGGAATTCCCGGGATTAAAATTCCATTTTTAGGGAAAACGGGAATGGGAAAACCTCCTGGATTCGGTGCTTTCCCAGCTCCCTGGGAATTCCCTGCCTCTGCTATTCCCAAAAAAATTCCCTGAGTTTTTCCCTCTGGAATTCACCCCCCACTGCGGGATCCATCCCGAGGGATTTTTTTCCCGAAATCGCGGAGGAATCCCGGAGTTTCCTGGGATGAGCCGGGGCCTTGAATCCAAGGATTCTCCCCCCTCCGGCTGCAGAATTCCCGGAATTCCCGGTACCTCCCTGACGCAGGAGCTCAGCCTCTGGAATTCCAGGAATTTCCACTTCCAAAGGATTTGAAACACAGGGAAAGGGGGAAAAAAAACCCCAAAACCAAAAACCGGGATTCAGGGATTTTTGGGATGAGCGGAAAACCCCTGGAAGCAGCGGAGGGGTTGGAACTGATCCATAAAATTTTCTGGGAATGCTGAGTCAGCTCCTAACCCCTCCAGAATTCCCCTTTACCTCCTTTTTCTAGGGATTTTCCAGCTGGGGAAAAAAAAAAGGAAAATCCCAAATTTTTTGGGGGGGGATGGGTGGGATTTTTGTTTTTCCCGGGTTTTCCAAGGACATCCCAAAAAAACAAGCGGGAGAGGAATTTTGGGATTTGGGAAAAACTGAGCCGGTGGAAAACTGGAGGGAGGGGGGAAGTGAGGAGGGGCAGAAATTCCATAAAATAAAATGGGATTGGGATAACGAAAGTCATTAAATAATCCCACAAAAATGAGGAAAATTGGGAATGAGCCCGAAAAATCCATGGGATTCATTCCTTTCCCTGTTTTTCCCGGCCTCTTTCCCTTGGATCCAATGGAATGGGAATTTGGGGGGGGGGGAGGGTCTGGGTCCTTCCCGACCATCCAAACCCAAATCCCTTGGATTTTTTTTGGGATAGAACGTGGGGAAAACATCGCCCGGGGGGTGCTGGGAGGGAATTCCTTTGGAATTCTGGTTCCCGGGAAAAAGCTGAGCCTTGGATGAGAATTTTTGGGAAGGGAGGGGGAGGGAGGAATCACGTTTTATCCCATAAAAAAATCCGGGATTTGCACATCCCCGAGGGGTTTGGATCATCGGGAATGACCGAGATCCCAAAATTCCAACCCCGGAGCCAAAATTCCATCCTTTTTTTTTGGGGATATAAGGTGGGATCCCCCTCCCTCCTCCCCCAGATTCCTCATCCAGGGGAAAACGAAGGAATTTTGGCGGAATTTTATCCCGAATTCCCGGGATCATCCCGGCTCCCGGCTCGTTGTATCCCAAAAAACCCCCAAAAAACCGGGATTTGGGTTTGGATCGTCGGGAACGCCAACCCCGAATTCCAACCGCAATTCCTTCTTTTTTATTGGGATGGGACGAGGGGAAAGCGGCGCTCCAGGGGTGCCGGGATGATCCTTGGAATTCGGGATCCCGGGAAAAGCGGAGCATTGGGATGAGGATTTGGGGAGGGGAAGCCGCTTCCTATTCCCAAAAAAAAAGAAGGAATTTTGACTCCGACCTCGCTCCCGGGGTTGGAATTTTGGGTTCTCCGTCATTCCCGAGGATCCGCAAATCCCTCGGGATACGCAAATCCCGGCTTTTTTTTGGGATAGAAAGCAATTCCTTTTTTTTTTTTTTTTTTTTTTTTTTTGGAAAGAGGCGCTGCGGGGGGTGCCGGGATTATCCCTGGAATTCGGGATCCCAGGAGGGGGGAAAAAAGCGGAGCCTTGGATCGCTCCTTATCCACCGGGAACCCAAACAATTCCCTCAGCCGGCTCCGGCCGGGATAAACAATTCCCAAAAAAACCCCGAAACAATAAAATCCCTCCGGGAATGCTCATCCCGATCCCTCGGAAATGACGGGAGCGCTCTCGGGGGGCGCCCTTGGAATTCCAGAGGGGGATGAAGAGGCGGGAGGGGCTCATTCCAAGCGGGTTATAAATCCGGGAAGAACCTCCAGGCTGGGAATTCCAGGTTTTTTTTTTCCAGGATGCGCTCCCAAATCCGCCTCCTCCTGGCGCTGCTCTGCGCGGCCCCGGCGGCTCCGGCTCCTCCTCCTTGGGAAGCGGCTCGGAGAGACCCAAATCCATGGATTTGGGAGGACGATTCCCAGTCCCCGGCGCGTTCCCAGCAGCATTCCCAGATTCCCGTGGAAGTGCAGTGCCAGGAAGCGCAGCTGGTGGTGATCGTGCACCGGGATTTATTCGGGAACGGCCGCTTGGTCAGCGCCGCCGAGCTCAGCCTGGGTCCCGCCGCCTGCAAATATTCCCGCTTGGATCCATCCCAAAAAACCGTCACCTTCAGCGCCGGCCTCCACGAGTGCGGCAGCACCGTCCAGGTGAGCCCCGCCGACATTCCAGGGATTCCCGACGGAATTCCCAGCGGGATTCCCGCCCTGGAGAGGCTCCCGGAGAGCCCCGGCCCGATCCCGGAATTCCCACCGGGAAAGGCTCCGGGAGATCCCGGTGGGGTCGGGAGAGATCCAGGTGAGTCCTCGGTCCCGTCCCGGAATTCCCAGCGGGATTCCTGCCGAATTCCCAGTGGGATTCCCACCTGGAGAGGCTCCCGGATTTAAGGGAGGTCCAGGTGAGTCCTTATTCCCATCCCGGAATTCCCGCCTGGAGAGGCTCCCGAGGTTTATCCCGGCAAATCCCAGGTTTTGAGGGAGATCCAGGTAAATCCCTGTTCCCATCCCGGGATTCCCACTGGAATTCGCGCCTGGAGCCGCGCACATTCCCGGTTTTACGGGAGCTCCAGGGGCTGGATCCAGGATTATTCCAGGGGAAGGAGGAGCCAGGATTTCCTGGGAATCAGAGCGGTTTTCCTGCAGCTTTTCCCATTCTTCTGGGAAAAGTCCCTTTTCCATCGGCTTGAAACTGAGATTTTTCCATCCCTTTTCCCATTTTCCCCTCCTTTCCCCTCCTTTTCCATCCTCTTTCCCATTCCCTTTTTCCATCCCCTTTTCCATTCCCTTTTCCCCCTTTTCCACCGCTTTCCCCCCCTTTTCCCACCTTTTCCATCCTTTTTCTATCCCTTTCCCATCCCTTTTCCCTGTTTTCCATCCCTTTCTTTCCATCCCTTTTTTCCCATCCCTTTCCCGTCCCCTTTTCCATCCCTTTTCCCATCTTCCCCTCCTTTTCCATCCCCTTTTCCATCCCTTTTTCCCCCATCCTTTTCCCTCCCTTTCCCACCCCTTTCCCTCTTTCCCACCCCTTTTCCCCCTTTTCCATGGATCCCCCACCGCTGCTGCTGGCCCAATCCGTGGCCTCTCCCACGGAATTCCCCGTTCCTATTCCCAGCTCACCCCGAATTCCCAGATTCCCCCCAGTTTCCCATGGAGAATTCCCGGGTTTTATTCCCAGGTCACTCCGGATTCCCTGATTTACCGGACGCTCCTGAGCTACGATCCCAGCCCCGGCAGCAACCCGGCCATCGTGCGCAGCAGCCCGGCCGTCATTCCCATCGAGTGCCACTATCCCAGGTATCCCAGCCCGCATTCCCAGGAATCCTGGGAATCCCGTTCCCATCCTGGGATCCCAGCCCGCATTCCCGGCGTTCCCGTTCCCATTCTGGGCTGCCCATTCCCTCCCTTTGTTCCCATTCCCATCCCAGACTCCTGGCAATCCTGGGAATCCCATTCCCATCATGGGATTCCATCCCACATTCCCGGGATTTACACTCCAAATCCAGTGTCCTGTTCCCATCCTGGGATCCCATCCCGCATTCCCAGGAATCCCATTCCCATCCCAGGATCCCATCCTGGATTCCTGGCATTCCTGGGAATCCCATTCCCATCCTGGGATCCCATCCCACATTCCTGGGATTTACACTCCAATCCAGTGTCCCATCCCCATTCCCACCCCAATGTCCCGTTCCCAATGTCCCATTCCCATCCCAGATCCTAATCCTGATCCTGATTCCCTTTTCCAGGCGGGGACCAGTGTCCCCCCATTCCCAGTGTTCCCAATCCTATCCCAGTGCTCCCATTCCCAGAGTTCTCATTCCCAGTGTTCCCATTCCCAATGTTTCCATTCCCAGGTTTCCCATTCCCAGTGTTCCCATTCCCAGTGTTCCCATTCCCAGTGTTCCCATTCCCAGGGTTCCCATTCCCAGTGTTCCCATTCCCAATGTTTCCATTCCCAATGTTTCCATTCCCAATGTTCCCATTCCCAGTGTTCCCATTCCCAGTGTTCCCATTCCCAGTGTTCCCATTCCCGATTTTCCAGGCGGGATAACGTCTCCCGCGGTTCCCCATTCCCACTGTTCCCATTCCCGATTTTCCAGGCGGGATAACGTCTCCAGCGGTTCCATCCGTCCCACCTGGGCTCCCTTCAACTCGGCGCTGGCAGCCGAGGAGCGGCTCCAGTTCTCCCTGCGCCTCATGAACGGTGCGGGATCGGGAATCTCCGGCCCGTTCCCACTTTCCCATCCCTTTTCCCATTGGATTTCCCAAGGACTGGAGCTCCGAGTGGGAATTCCCAGGGTTCTATCCCTTTCCCATCCCTTTTCCCATTGGATTTCCCATCCCTTTTCCCGCTGGAACTCCCAGAGGACTGGAGCTCCGAGTGGGAATTCTCAGGTTTCCCCTTTCCCATCCCTTTCCCATCCCTTTTCCCGTTGGATTTCCCAAGGACTGGAGCTCCAAGTGGGAATTCCCAGGGTTCTATCTTTCCCATCCCTTTTCCCATTGGATTTTCCAGAGGACTGGAGCTCGGATCGGGAATTCTCTCCGTTCCGC